ACAGTCGTTGGGATCGACTGTTTGTCATGCTGTGACAGTCGTCGCGATCGACTTGTTGTCCTGGTGTTCAGGTATCTAATAGCAGCACAGGAATGATAGCATTTCTGCTTTTTCAGTTCTTTGTTGCTTTGCGGCTCTGAGCCTTGCTGATAGACACAAGTTGCACTCGGCATTGGCATTGTATTCGGTTTGTGAAATTAGCCTGCAGGATTTTAAGAGATCGCAGACACCAGGGCCTGCCTGATAAGGAAAAAGGGAAACCCCTTGAAAGGAATCCTTAACCCCTTCCTTGGAAACCTAGTTGCTTGAAAAATGCGGCAACTGCCGAAAGTGGCAGTTTTTCTTTGCTAGTGGCATTTTTTGGTTTTTAGGGTATGGGTGTTTTAATGCTTTGTTGGGTTTGGGACTGGCTTCTCGGCTTAAACTGCTACTTAAGGGTGTGATCTCAAATACACCCATGCGAAGAAGATGCCTTTTCGCCACCCATTTCTCTCGGCTTCGACCGATCACGCATCAGAGCATATGCTATGTAGCACTTGAACAGCCACTGCAGAATTGATCAGCACATACGAGCCTATAGCGTACAAATGCTGGTCTTTACTATTACCACACCGATCTAGCTGTCCCAGTGCTGCCAGAGCTGAATGGCATACCTCGCCAACACCTGCGTGTGGCACGACCTGCGTGCGACTGCCGTCGACAAGGCCGAAACCTTTCCAACGAAGTCTTCGTCACTCTGGCATGAATATGTGACGGGATTAATTACCCAGCTTGCGTGTGGAGTAACCATGAGCTCACGTCTGACGTAGTCGATGATCTCGGTGAGCGCGTGATATTTTGGAGTAAGCTTGAACCGGGTCTTGCGCTGCTGCAGTGCTTCGTACGCAGCAGTGAAGTAGAGGTTGAGGAATTGGTAACCTGTCGACACAATGACGTTCCCATTCGCACGGCTCACAAAGAGGCCATGCCTGTACAACATGTGCATCAGTTGGTTTGATACCCGCAAGGCGCCGTGGATGGCGATCAGATATGCACTCGGATTTTGCTGCTCGGCAATGCGATTGGCATAAACCGTTTCCAACCAGCGACATACTGCGGCAGTATCTGCACCCTTGAACCAAGCCCTCGGCTGTCCCAATCTTTCGAAATCCCTATATTACGATAGTAATTAATTAAGCAGTTATACACCCTGATGAATCATCGCCATATGAGTCCTTATAACTAATGGTCGACCTCCAGCACAGACACAGTTAAAGCGATCTATACGGTCCAGACCCCATATACTCTCGAACAACATAGCAGTTTTAATAAGCAGAAGTACATATACTGCAAAGCCAGAAAAAACAAATCAAATCAGAACACGTCACCCACAAGGATAGTCGGCATCCTTCGAAAAAGCTAGCAAAGTTCTGGTCAGCCCAGACATGTGTAGTGGCAGGGAGTTGTCCTGACAGTACTTGGCCAAGTCATTGTAGAGCGACTCCAACTGAGCCGGAACGTCACCGAGGCCTGCCCAGCCAAGATCCATCAGGGCCACCTGAATAAGAAACTAATAGGAATGTTACTATTAATAGGGTATATATCCTATATACAAATCGCCCGACACCCATAGACCCCGTAAGCCGAAACCAAAACTTTGGACAGCTAAAATTTTTAGGGTATAAGGTTTAGGGTAGGGTTTAGGGTTTAACCGGTCAAATGTAGCAATGCCACAATGGCACTGCCAGCCAATTCCGCGAAGATCCCCTTGTGACACGTATGAAAAATGTCGTACCGGTACCACAAAGCGGAGTGTTGTGGCAGGACTGAGAAGGGCGGCACGAAAGTCGGTTTGTGGGGCTGATGCTGCAGGTACGTGGCCCGCCACGTAGCCGTTTCAGTGTAGTCGTGGTACGGGTGTGAGGGTCGTCCAGCATAGCAAAGATGACAAATACCTTGAGCATTCGCAGCAGAAGATTTCCTGCCAAAAAATCGTGCCAGCCGTCCTAATTTAGCGAGCAGCGGCCAGTCTCCCTTGGCCGCGACCACACAAACATAGATCGTGATGCGAACATTGCGAACCACTAGGGTGCACCCCTCCTCAAACAAACGCACCAACTCGGCAGCGACGCTTTCCCATGCAGCATACAGCGGCCTGTCATTTTTCTTGTAAGCTTGTTTCAGCATGACAAACAGCAGGAGCCTCGTAGCCCAGGTAGTGAATTTCATGTTCGTGTGCAGCTCACTCGAATCATAATCAGGGTCGGGGTTGCTGCCAAGCACTGGCTGCAGGTTGCAAACCATAATGCTGCTTTTTTTCAGGGTGCGGCCCTCATCGCTATGAATGTAGCAAGGAATCACAAACTTTTCACGGCCGTCATGGTAAGAAAATGTAGGATGCTCTGGGTCTATAGCCTTGTATCTCTTCCAGTACTCTTCCACCAGGCTGAAGTCATCCACGTGGCCGAGCAATAGAGATAGCTTGTTATGCAGACTGAATACTCGAAGGTATGATTCAACCCGAAAACACGGATAACGATCTCCACCCACTTCGATTTCGTCCATAGGCATCGGGCACGAAAGGCCCATATCTTTCAGGATTTTCGAAGTAGTGTTTTCATGCTTTGTTTTGCGCTTCCGATGCAACCGGCGCAATAAGTCCGAGCTCTCCAGATCAGCATCAGGATTAGCATTCGTATGCTCCTGCCAAAAGCCTGCAGCGATGTCACAAACCATCCGGTCAGAAACCTGGGGGGCGCATTGCAAACAATTGTCAAGTATAGCTGCCTACGACAGACCAACCAATATCGAATCCCAAAGACCCATAAACCGTGAACCCTAAACCCAAATCGAGAAGTGTACCAATCAAAACCCAAAGCCGAAACCCCAAACCCTAACCCGGGCCCTAAGCCTAAACCCAAAACTCGATCCAAACCCTAAACCCAAACCCTAAGAATAAGCCCGATCGATCTATTATTCGTGCTCCGCCACGCCAGCAGCACTTGCCCGTGCCAAGGCATTTGCAGCTGGTCCAGCGTGGACTCGATCTCGATTCTCAGTACCTGCCGCTGCGCCGCTGTGGCGTTGGTTGATCTTTGGGCGGATTATGACAGCTTAAGCCTTCTGGAAATTCGAAGCTTCGTGGCTATAGAGGTTTTATGTACACAACATATTTATGATCAGGAGATGTATAATAGAGAGACGAGAGAGTGAGCTAGGGAGAGGGAGAGGGAGAGAGAGAGAGAGAGAGAGAGAGAGAGAGAGAGGGGGAGAAACGGGACACAGGTTAAGGACGCAGATGGGTAGCGAAACGGGTAAGCATCGGTCACCTAAAATTTAGGTGACCCAAATAAACACTCAGAGTCGGTCACCTAAAATTTAGGTGACCCAAATAAACACTCAGAGAGAGACAGAGAGAGAGAGAGAGAGAGAGAGAGAGAGAGAGAGAGCGAGAGAAAAGATCAGAGAGGAGAGAGAAAGAGAGACAGAGATAGAGAAGAACGATCGAGAAAGAGAATGGGGGACGGAGAGGGATAGGTGGGAAGAGAGAGAGAGAGAGAGAGAGAGGGAGAGCAACGTCAATTTGGTGAATCAGATTGAAAAGCACGGTAACCACACATGGATCGTTCAATGTATATACATAAGGCAAAGGCCATTCATGATCTGCAGGCATGTTCATGCAGTCGAGGCAGAAAACCTACAATGATTGCATTTATGAAGTTGAAGCCTTTGGGCTAAGGGGACTTTCTAGTTTAATGCAGATTTGTGTTAGGACCATCCTTGGGAGGCCTTTGGGGTTCTGGGCGGTGTGTCAAAGGAAGAGCTTCGGTTATTGCAAGATCGTAGCCAGACTTCTGAAGCGTAGCTTTTTGGTATGACTCCCGGCTAATCTTCGGGAGTTTGGAGTTTGGGGACTCTATATACTTTCAGCCTAGAGATCGGCCGTCTTAATGCATAGCGATTGCATGGGGACTTCCGGCTTAGCTTCGGTATACATGCGGGCAGATTAAGCTTAATGGTTCAGCTTGTGAACGATGTTCCGCTACTGATCGCAAGACCTCGATAGGGGCTCAGGTTGTGTATGATCATATTTTTACGGGGTAAGGTAATTCGGAGCCTTGGGTCCCTCAGGATTAGGGCTTATTATGGTCACTATATAGCACAGGCCACAGCTTTGCATCTCGATCTGCAGCGGCGCGACTCTAGGCCCTGCGTCCGAGAGAGCCCCGAATTGAACTCGCAGTGCGCAGCCGACCCCTTCCTGGAATCACAAATTGAGCTACGTTCTGTGCCTAAATAGGGTTTAGGGTTTAGGGTAGTATGGGGGGTTCGATTGCGCACACGGAACCCAGACCGACACTTCACGGCCAAACCTTGCACTGCATCGAGTTTAACACAGTGCGAACTGAAGCAGAACTTCATGCCTTCCAGCAAGTGAGCATCATGATCTGCATAAGTTGACGTTTGGAGCTTAGGGGTTCAGAGAGAACTGCAAATCTCATATCCCTAGATCAATAGCTCACTTACGATTGTTTTTGCCCTTAGCCTTAGCCTTTGCTTTGCAAACCGGCTTGGCTTTTGCCTTAGCCTTCGGCTTCGGCACTGGCTCCTCGCCTTCTTCAGATTCCTCCCCCTCAAGATCATCATCATCATCATGCTCATTTCCCGGTGCGACACGCCTTGTGCGCTTGGGATTCGCCTTTGCCTTTGCTTTGCCAGCAGCCTTGCGAAGATAAAGCCTCGGTAGTACATATGTGCGAATCACGACTCAACACCCACACTCTGTTATGTATGAGCATACAGAAATAATACGACCAGGACCGTCTGACTTTGTTCTCCTCCATGACCATCTTGCTGCACCTTGGTTGGGTGGCATCCGAGGTTCCTCGATCTATTCGCTGGCGGACGATTGCGGCCAGCACATGATGCATCATGGAGGCTGGGCACAGGCGCATGCATAAGTTCCGACAGGGCGCTCGACTTCCACTTCGCTGAACTTGCGCTTCAAGCTAGTGGCTGCCCTAGGATATGAGATTTAAAGCACAATCAAAAAACTTTGCTTGCATTTGCTTGGTGCTGCCTGGTAGCTCCTGATCCTTCTTGACCGTAAAGTTCGCCTTTATATCAGCGATTTCATCGTGAAGTGTCATAAGTTTGTTTGCGTGCTGCTCGAGCTTGGTCGTCCTTAGTTGGTTCGGTGGGTGTTAATTGAGGGAACGGGGTTCGCTCCAGGCATGTATATATATATATATATATATATATGTATAATACATATATGTCGGAGCACTCGCCATTGTCCTTCTGCACGGTATCCTTCACCTGGTCGACCAAGACCATCGCCCGGTTCTGGTTTTTAAGGATCTCCTTGAGGGTGTTGGCCACAGTGGACATGTCCTTCAACATGGGGTCAGATCTCGGGCTAAGGTTTGGGGTGAGATCTTAAAGTCTCGGGCTACGGGGGTTTAGGATTCTGGGGCTGTTGACTTAAGTTTGAAAGAATCCATAATCTAAGCCCTTTGTTCATGGTTGGTCCCAATGGATTCGGAGTTAAGACTTGGAGTTCGAATCTATATAAGAATACGGTGTGTGATGACCACTAGCTCGTCCTCCTCAGCTTCGGTCGCAGCATTCCTAGCATCCTTCTCCTTTCGTTTCCGCAAAGCTTTGCTCTGCTTGGATTTACTGTCGGTTCCCTCCTCCTTGCCCTCCTCTTCCTCGCTGCCTTCCTCCTGATCCTCGTAGTACGCTTCCTCGTCGTCTGGCAGAAACGGCTGTGGGCTCTTGCCTACCAGCGGCGCCGGCAACGGCATTTCAACGTCCCTGACTTCGAAGCGCCTGATGGTGGTCTCTGACATAGTTCTCGTGATCTCACCCGTTGTCTTCGTGTCCACCCAATACTCCTTGACGTCCTTTTCGTATTTGTCGACCCTGCACAATTGGGAGATGCATGCAGTCGGGTAGTATCACGGTTCCCACATGTGCCCCGCGTAATTTATATATATAAGTCCCGATCGACCTTGTAAGGGCCTTGCGCCTCTCAGTAGTGGCCGTGCAATAGGCCTTCGCAGCGCGAATTCGCGCCCTGAGTCCCGGCCGACAATTGGAGGGTGGATATGTTCTAGTGTACATTAATTTGAGAGATTCCAAGGCACGGTGTCCACTCCAGCTGTTTGGCCATAGCACGTTCTGAGTACCACCCAGCTTCCACTTTGAGTTTCACATCCCGACGGGTCTCGATGATCAGCTCAGCCTTCTGCACGAAAGCCTCCTATAATGATTGGCACAGGATTCTGACGGCAGATGAATGATACTGGCCACTGCACAAATCACAAATTATATTGGCATACTTACTTGTGTAAGGGGTCCTTGTCGCCCTGGAGCTCCACCATGATTTGAAGTAGCTCGGTTCTAGCTGTTCCGCCCTTGCTCCACTGCTTCTTTACATCATCTGGCACCAGAACTTTAGGAGCCTTCTTGCCCTTATTCTTCGGGCAGCAAAGCCGGCGAAGGACCGCGTCGAACCTGGCGAGCGCCGCCGACGTGACAATGATCGGCTCCTGCTGGGTGTGGACTCGGGCCTTGACATGAAAGATGATAATATAGATGATGACGGGTGATGATATGGTGATGATGATGGAGATCGGTGTAGATGGTCGGTGACAACGATCAATGGCGGTGATTGTGGGGCGATCATGAAGACGATAACGGCTTGGCTGCATGACTGCTCGTATAGGAAGGAAAACAGAATCATGCTTTAAAGCCATGCTATAAAGCCACAATAAGTTTTGTGTTCAGAGATGTAGACGTCATGCAGACCCGTGCACTTCTACATGCCGCTCGTGTACCTACATATGTTAATATAACAAGCTTCCGTCCCATATGTCCATGTAAATTAAGGTTCTTAAGGTATACAGCACAAATACAATATGTTTTTCTCTAGAGCTGCCCATCCCTCATGCTTTCTCTAAGGGCTGGCTGTATGAATGTGTAGAAATACATATAGACCGGCACACACACAGACTATGTGCACATAGATAAACCCCTAAGCCCTAGACCCTAAACCCCTAAACCCCTAAACCCCTAAACCCCTAAACCCCTAAACCCCTAACCCCTAAACCCCTAAACCCTAAACCCTAAACCCCTAAACCCCTAAACCCCAAAACCCCAAAACCCCTAAACCCTGAACCCTAACCCCCTTATAACCCCCTAAACCCCTAAACCCCTAAACCCCTAACCCCTAAACCCCTAAACCCCTAAACCCCTAAACCCGCTATGCGACATATATACCAGCAGTAGATCGTGCAGTCGCAGAAAGTCTCGTTTAATTCATCTGTTAGCATACCAAATGACTAAGGTAAAGCTACTGCTACTCCCCTGCTCCTCCCAATCCTGCTACAGTACCTCGATCTACACTATACATGCAACTACTAGCGCTGCTATTGCGGCTGGGAGGGGTCAACCCCAAACATGGTGTAACCAGAGCCTGCTTACCTGACTTTCGGATTCTCGGGGCGTGGTGGGGAGTGAGCTTTCGGGATCCTTCCTCGAGTCCGGGAATATGGGGTGACATTAATAGTTGGGTTGGAACCTAAATATATTTGGTAGGAATTTTAGCTATATAGGCTACAGTCACACCAAACTGTTGTTTCAGTAGGCTCTTTCCAAGATGGGCTCAAAGCAAGAGATGTACAACGAGATCATCTCTATATATATATATATATATAGAACGGATCCTGTGACAAGTTTACCACCGAGAATGAAACTAAGTAATCCTAGGCCAAATGACCTGATACCCCGAGCCCCAAGCAACCCTACTATAGGATTTGAAGAAACATCGAGTCCTGTTCAACCGGGGGCTTGGCAGCCTCCTCCGGCTCGCTATCGTCGTCATCGTCACAATCCTTAGAATAGACAACTACATCGGGTTAGGGTTTAGGGTTTGGGGGTTTGCGGTTTAGGATTATAATAGTATAAGAGGAGGTTCCCGTGCGTTCGCCGATTGCGGCGGCTTCTCCTTCTCTGGCGGGGCTTCCCCGTCCTCGGCCGCACTATGTTATTTGATTTTGTAGGAGTTTGGGATTGGGCTTTACGCACGAGGGATTGAGCTTTAAGAATTCGCGGCAGGGCTCCGGATCCAGGGCAGTGGTCTCTTCCGTGGAAGTAGGCACTGGCTTTGCAGCCTCAAAGGGTTTTATAATTATAGCGAGATTGATATAGCAGTGCGCACGTACAAAGACGATCATTATTGAGGCGGGGCATGAGGCTTCTGACAGATTGCGCCTCGGCCCGAGGAGTTGCGATCTGCTGCGTCTGCGGGGGCTCGGACTTCACGGCCTGGAGGGCTTCGAAGGCGGCCTTCAAGCCAAAATCATCCTTGGCTGCTGGTTTGTGCACATGGGTTGGGGTCGGTTGTTTTATAATAGTTGTTGTGGTCTAATGCTATCAAGATTCTATTTCGAAGTCACTCATGTACTCATCGTGCTGAGCATCCGGATGCTGGGGCTCTGGGGTTGGGGATTCGGGCGGTGACCGTACAACCTGGGCATCCTGGGAAGATCGAAGCGCCTCGAAAGATCGTAGAGGGGTGGCAATCGGCCGAGCAGCCGGGGCCGGATCTGTTACAATCTTCGAGGGCTCCACGGGATCCCAAGGCCCCAATGGTGTCATATACGGATCTTCATCAGGCACTGTGTCGGTCAAGCAACTATCTTGGCCGGGGAGTTCATGAGCTTCGGCTGTACATGCTGTTGGCGTGGCCGGGCCTTGCAATACTGGTTCACCGGTTTCGGTGGCTTCGGTTGCTGGCCGTTCTACATTGCGAGTGGGCTCGGTTGGGCCTGTGCTGACAGGTTCAACCATGGGAGTGGGCTCGGCTGCGCCTGTGCTGACAGGTTCAACCATGGGAGTGGGCTCGGCTGCGCCTGTGCTGACAGGTTCAACCATTGGGGCCGGGGTTGGCACTGAAGGGCTTGGCACGTCAGTCTGGGCTTTGGCTTTCATAGATCGCAGATAAGCGAGCCTTTGTTCCGCGTCCTCACATAGCGCATGCAATGCAGGTATCGCAGCATGGTATGGATGTGCATATATTTATATATATATATATGCGTGGGATATCATACATGCAGCCGAAGTTCTGCTAGCTCGGAATCAAGGCTTGAAGGCTCTGTCTTGACTTTGGGCGCCATAGCTGTTCCCACAACAAAGTCTAGGCCAGCGTTCAACGAAGCACAGCTCCACAAATTGGAAAGCGCTGGGCGGGGCTTGGGCATTGTTAATGGCACTACACAAAGATAAAGATGCGTGTGCGATCGATCATACAAGCATCGGCGCAACACAAAAGCAGCGCAAAACGGCCTACGGGATTTTACGCCACTTTGCTTCGATTTTACGCCACTTTACGGGATTTTACGCCACCGCTGTTTTGGCTTAAAACGCAATAATAGCTATAATGCCGGCGCGAAACCGCACAAAGTGGCACAAAAAGCGCGAGTGCGCAAGTCAAGCTGGCACACTATTTTACGAAACCCATGATCCCATCACGGCACAGGATGGCACAGGCATAGGTGGCCAAAGCACACTTGCAAGTACACTTGCTATCAACATTCGCTCCCCTACTGCTGCTGGTGCTTGTTCAGGCTGACACAAAGGGTCTGGATACAGCGATAGGGGATGTCGGTGGTATGTAGATTTAAATGATATAGATATAGATATATACTAAATTAGATCGATAGATCCACATCGCTTAGAGGAGCAAGTATACGAGCTGCACGTGTGCTGTTGCTGCACCCCCACAGGTCGATCGTGAATTGTGCACAACTGCCTACGATAGGCTAGCAGGCTGCGGCTCAAAGGCCACATTGTTCACGTAGCTTTTGTCGCCAGGACGGGGGCAATGACAGGTTCCTATTGGATCGCAAATAATGCAAGACAGGGCCCATGTCGGCATCAATCCAGATATCCGTCATATCCAAGCCGGCAGATAGCGCATCCATATCGATTCGAAAAGGATCGGGTACCTGGGCAGGAATGGATGGATAAATATATATATATATATATATATATACATATACACACATGTGCAATCCAAGTATCGTAGAAATCAACCTTCCTGCGCTCATCGTTATGGGACAGGGCCTCAAAGAGCCTTAGGAACTGGAGGGCAAAGCCGAGCGGGTACTGCCTTGGATGCTCGACAGAGCGAAACTCTCCACACAAACGGGTAAGCATCGGTCACCTAAAATTTAGGTGACCCAAATAAACACTCAGAGTCGGTCACCTAAAATTTAGGTGACCCAAATAAACACTCAGAGTCGGTCACCTAAAATTTAGGTGACCCAAATAAACACTCAGAGAGAGAGAGAGAGAGAGAGAGAGAGAGAGAGAGAGAGAGAGAGAGAGAGAGAGAGAGAGAGAGAGAGAGAGAGAGAGAGAGAGTGAGGGATAGAGAGAGAGAGAGAGAGAGAAGTGAAAGTATGTTTCAATCGAATGAAGCTAAGAAACTCCGAACCTTTCAATCGCTTGTTGCCCGTAAAGCATTTGCGGCCGTTCTTGCCGATTGTCCGCCTGACCAGCTGCCTGCAATTCGCACGTTGCCTCTTTGTCAGGGGCCCAGCATCAAATCCCACCACCGAAGCGTCGTTGGAGTAGATGACGGTACGTTTGGGGGTAGGCCCCCCCCACTTGCGCATCCAAAACCCAACCTTGCGTACCTTAACTGAAAACCGTGTGCACCACTAGAAGCAACGATACGATCCCGCAATCCAAGTGGCAACCAGACATTGGCACAGTTGGCGAAAGCGTTTGTGTCGCGACATGATCGACTGGGACGGTTGTTCTAGCGTCCACGTAATTCTCAGTGCCGACATCAGGTGTGCAAGGAGGCAAAACCTCAGAGATCACTAGCAGGCTCTACCACACGCATGTATATGTAGCACGACGTGTATATGTTGCGTGCACATCTCGAGGGTCAGAGTTTAATTATTGGGTCTAAGTTAGGGGCTCACAGGGTCTTTCGAACACTGGCTATATTGCTGCTGTAGCACCGGGCGACCATCTTGTTTCCATCTGCAACCGAAGGGATACTTTCATCACCATGTGGGACTAAATAACTCCGCTTCGTACAGCCCCTCGACATGACAGTCCAGCTGCTGCATTGGAGGCCGAAGTGGGCAACGGATCGGGCCTTCATCTTCAGTATGCAGACAAGGAGCAGCCTGGGAAGCAGGCGTTGGGATGGCGTTTGGGTTCGAGGCATGCGCATAAAACCAGCAGCAGTGTGTATATAGGTGCAACTGAGAATCGCCATGCCGCTGGGGGTCAACATGTCGTAGGGGTTAGAGGAGCAGGGAGGTACCCAGCTGGGACGTTCGTCCCAGTATTTTATGTCCAAGCTGGCAACCGACTTTCCAGCATAACGAAGAATTCGGGTCAATCTTCCAGCCCCGGCGCAGACTTCAAGGGCGTCGAACTCCTAAGCCCGGAAAACTCAGCATGTATCCCTGGAAACGATTGCAAGCCCTCACTTTCCCGGAAGTCAGTCCTGAGTCAGGTCTACGTTCTGAGTTTGGCCCAACAGTAGGACAGCCAGCAGCAGAACCTGAAGAATCCGTGCATTTTAATTTGTGCTACAGCTTCAGGCAGCTACTGTAAGTTAATAGTTAAGGCAGTCTAGGCGCACCAGGCGCACCAACTCTCATGAGATGGTGCAGTATATACTGAAGTCGGCCCCATGCCATTGCCATATTCAATGACTGCTCTAACTTCAGGGTGCACTGCCTCTAGGATCAAAAGCTGCGGAGCACATGTAGTGCTGAACTTCCTGTGTGTATGCATTGGCTGCTCCCCTCAGCCCTGACACAGCCGACAACCGGAAGGGCGCACGAATCTTCACGAAACCTTTGCGGAGTTTCCAGGCCTTGCTCATGATGCCACCTGGCCAGGTGGCCGGTACACACACAGACACAATCAATCGTGGATATTGCAGTACACCCATCGATCCGATCTAGACTCGCAAAGGGCAAGATCGATTTTCTTTCTGATTTCTTGCTGCACTCAAGGGTCGACCCACAGCTCCTGCACTATGCTTCGCACTCTGTTAATTGCCTTTTCCATGACCTTATGTTGCTAGTGCGTAGGCGGTTTAGGGTTTAGGGCTTAGGGTTTGGGGTATAGCTAGGGGTTAGCATATATATATATATATATATGTGCGAACAGATATGTTCGTGTTGCAAAGCATGCATGCATGCGCATGTTGCGTACCGTAAATCAAACTAGTGTGTAAATCTGGAGCATGCGCATTTGTGTATATGCATGTGTGCACAAGGGGCTCGGTCATGAAAGGCTGTGTCCCCGGCATGCACAGGGTTTCCCATGCATGCTTCCCAAAATGCACCGAGTGCGCAAAGCATATGCCTATGAGTGTGGTCGGATTGGGACCCTCGCAACAAACGGTATTAATGTGTACGATAGCTGAATTTGTCATACAGCTCTCAATCCGAATCTTTCACGTATGCATGCCCACCTGCAGGGGTGGCCTGGCCTACCGGTCCGCAAAGTGAGCAGGGTTACACTTTCTGCAACCGTTGCGCCTATGGCGACACTTGCTACAGCCTCCGTGGGCAGGAGGAGAGGGGGGGCGGGTGGGAACACATGTTCGAGGCGTGCGCTTGTGGCCGCTTTCCTCGGCATTTGTCGTCTCAGCACGTGGGTTCTTCGAACCTTTGGCTTTCTTGACACTGGTAGCGACATCATCATTAACCGTCAGGTTGGACGTGGCCCTGCCACGCTTCACCGGCATAGGAGCCTCATCTGGACCGTCGGCTGCCGCAGCAGCTTTCTTCTTCGTTTTCTTTCCCGGCTCAACATCTGCCGGCTCATCATTCGCCTTCTTCTTCGTTTTCTTTCCCGCCGGCTCATTTGCCGACTCATCATTCGCCTTCTTCTTCGTTTTCTTTCCCGGCTCAGCATCTGCCGACTCATCATTCGCCTTCTTCTTTTTCGTTTTCTTCCCCGCCGGCTCAGCATGTGCCGGCTCATCATTCGCCTTTTTCTTCGTTTTCTTTCCCGCCGACTCAGCATTTGCCGACTCATCATTCGCCTTCTTGTTCTTCTTCGTTTTCTTCCCCGTCGGCTCAGCATCTGCCGGCTCATCATTCTCAAGACGCAACTTCTTCTTGCGGCCTTTCAGGGAGTCCCTGAGCTTCGCCTGCATGTCCGGCGTCACTGCCGATGGGTCCACCTGCATATTATATCCATGCATCCACGGAATACACAGAATCAGTAAGGCAATTTTAGGGTTTCAGGGATTAGGATTTAGGGGTGTTGAAACCTTTGGCCTTGGGCGGGGTGATCTCTGGCACATTCTTTGCTTTGGGTGGAGGGGTATCATCGATCTCAGAAGCATTCTTCCCGGCCGGAGGAGTCTCCAGGATGCCCTTGGATTTGGAAGACGGCAGCCCGCACAGAATCTCAGCGGCATCATACGTTTGGGTGTCCTGCTCATGCTGCCGAAGTCTGAGTTAAGAATATATCATTATCTTAGACTAATAGATGTTCAAGTGTGCATGCACGTATAAACACAAACACCCAGCTAGTGCATTCACATACTGCATGACCTGCCATTTGACTACATTTGACTATGTAGGTATATATACACGTAATTGTGTATATGAATGCGTGTGCATGTCTACATATGTATGTATGTGTATATATATAAGCATACACAAGTTTGTATGTTGACCCGTTCCTTTGTATGTTGAACCGTTCCTGTACTTGGATTAGTCACCTATCGTATGTGGGTGTGTATATATATATACATATACATGTCTATCTACACACACATGCACATTTAGCTTCATAAGTGTGCAGTTAGATGGGTAGAAAGGTAGATAGGCGGATACGTGCCTGGGAACTGGATAGACTAACAGATGGATCGAGGCATACACGGGCACATGGGTGGATATAGCTACATAGCCTATGGATAGACAGATTTATTGGTAGCTAGGTAGGTAGGTATAATATAGGTATAGCTACTATGGTAGGTAGGTAGGTATAGGTAGGTATTATAGGTATAGGTATAGGTAGATAAGTGCGGAAGTAAGTGTAAGAAGAGGCAATCAAGTAGGAAAAGCTATGTGGGACTTAATGGAGGTACATAGGTAGATAGATGAGTAGATAGATATAGGATGATATAGGCGGGTAGGTATAAACACATAGATCGAGTTTGACTGACCCATATGTGTGAAACACCTGGCGGTCCGGCTGCCTGTCTATCTGTAGCTGTCTATCTACCCGGCCATTATCTACTCATTGAAAAGGTGTCTACGTACATCTCTACAACCACATATGTATATATGCCTTACATCCTTTATTGTACTTTCTAGGACCCTGTCGATTCCTGTTCCACTCGCTTCTGCCTTAACCTATACTGCTAAACACTTGCTATCGTAATTCCCCATCCTCTAAAGTATTCAAACTTTAAGATCGACATTGGGCCGCGAGTCATTTGAGCTACGATCAAGAGCTCTGCGTCCTGATGGTCGGGATGCTTGAAGGTGCTGGAGCGACGTGGCTTCTGGGGCGGGCTGTCCTCTATCGGGATCGGTGTAGCTCCTTACGGTGTACGACGGGCCCATGATATTTATAAGGACTAGGAGATTAGCAAACCGGTGTCTCGAAATTCAAAGCTTAAACCTTATAATACTCGTGCAAAAAACTATAGCTGAAACCCTCAGGGGAACCCCCAGCTGCTGCGACAACTGGCTCGGAGACCCTCTTGGATTTCACCGGGTCGGAGCCTCGCCTGGGCGTGGTGATTCCCGTATGTAGTGCTACTCGGGGCTCTAGGGTTATATTTTCGACTGATGGGAATTCAAAAATAATGAGTGCCACCCAAAGTGCTGAATACCCAATTCGTTCTCCAATTCTTTGATCATATACATCTTCTCATAGAGTTCCCGCCGTTTGTCATCCAACCCTGAAGATGCCGCTGTGGGACTGCTGCGGATTGCATCGTGCAGCTCAGCTGGAGTGGGGCCCGAAGAGCCGGGATGCGCCGAAAGCACCTCGACTTCATCATCATCATCCATCTCCTCGTCACCCTTGTTCTCCCCTTCATGCCCATATTCCTCCCCGTCAATATCCTCCTCCTGTTCCTCGTCCTCTTCTTCGGCATCTTCCTCTGCATCTTCCTCCTCCTGTTCTTCATCACACTCATCCTCATCATCAGCGTCGAGTTCGTCCTCCTCTGGAAAGGGATGGCCCTTCAGGCGAGCCATTTCTCGGAAAATTTGTCGTACTTCCCAATCCTAAGTATATGCTTGAGTTTTGTGTGTGGGTGTTTGCGTATGTGGGGGTAGGAGGGCTGTTACAGTAGCTCCCCATAGAGCTTCACAACCTAGAAACGGCCTAAGCTAAGATAACACCTGTATAGAAACCCCAACTTTGACGTCGCAGTTATAATCAGCAATAAATATCTAACCCCGTGCTACAACAGCATAGGATCTCTGGGAGTCTGCTCACGGCGGTGGCAGTCCATGTAGCGTCGCCACGCAAAGCCGTACAAGCTTCTAAGGGACCAGGCATCAAGATAATCCCGCTTAAGGACCGGGTCTGGCACATAGCCGACATCGTGGAAAAGCTTTCGTACCTAGAGTGGCCCCCGTTAGTTCAGCCAACATAACAGCTTAAACATGGAAAGCTTGCGCTAGCTGTTTCAGCGGGCTTTTGATTGCCGATCGAGGTGCCTCTGCCTGCAAAGGGTCTATGAGAACCTTGCCCTGCTTGAAATGATGCACCATCGTGAGAATGATGCTGTAGTTCGCTTTCAAACCACGAACACACTGAAGGCATTCGTCACCTTCATCGGTCTTCGGAGTATGGATCCATGGGGCTCCGATGCGAAACCGCTTGCGAACCATGCGAACCTGTTCCAAGCTTTCGGCAAGTGAAGCCATCCCGAGCGACACTGTAGAGCATACACACTCGAAGCCGCAAAAGCTGCACCGAAATACAGCTAGTCGAGATGCATGTGCACGCACACCAGTGCACTCGGTCTGAAAGATTGACAGAAAAGCTAGGACACTTCTGCAATATTAAGCCGGCCTGGTCGATCGCGGCGCAGAAATCGTCCCACATCGGAGTGCCTGTCGCACGCAGGTGTTAACGTGGATAATTGTACGAAACCACCCAATGAAGCTGTGACACTCACGAGCAGAAGATCACGCCCTGCCAACCGAACATATGATCATCATGCTTGCCTCGGCGTGAGCCACTGCGCAAAGCCACCCACATAGCCACATCCTGCCAATTGGAATGCCTATAGTTATTCATTCCATGCTTAATGTTCGTTGTATTACTCACTCGAGCTCCGGTCGACAGTGCATATAGGGATGCAGTTAGACAGGCCGAAGCGGTTACAAAGACTTGCTGTGCAGTCCTCATGGATCAAGCTTGCCATAGCTCAGGAATTGGCGGCATGGTGCTGCCGATGAGCGCATTACTATACTAAATCAAACCGAAGCCCCAAAGCAAAGAACCATATGATTTTAAGTTTGTGCTGGCTGCCGTCTCAGGCATGCTGTGTATGCAAGCATTTTCAGTTTAGCGGCATTATGTCCATATACGAGTCTTCGATCCCTTAATACCGACCCGAAACTTGGAACCTTTATGTAGACCCGTGTATAAATCATACATGTGGAGATTTGCCACTAGAACTGATGGAGACATCTTAAGATGCCGCAAAAGCGGCGAGCACGTGGAAAGGCGGCTTGCTGAGCCTTGCAAATCGAAGCTTTCCGAAGCCCCCGCTTAAATTAAACTGTAGGCTTTAGGGGTGTGGTTCGAGCCTTTAACGATCGATTGTAGAGCATGATCCTCCGACTGTAAGACGATTGTCCTGCAAAGCTTCTACAACTGTACTTAGAAGCTGCCCCCACCCTGTAATAGTGGTATAATCGGAATATAATAGGGCCCTAATATAATCCTATATAATCCTTACAGTCACTATTACAGGGTGGGGGCAGCTTCTAAACCTGTACACGTACCGATCTTCGCAGGGTCTTAGGCCTGCAGATACGGGTCTACAAGAACGTACAGCAAAGCTTATAGTTTGATTACCTGCATGCAAACCCTATATTTCCTAACACAGATTTCAGGCGTGGGGCTCGAACACCCCGGGGCTCCCAAAGACGCAGTGGAGTTCGGCAGGGTTTTCGAGATTAACTCATGGTACGACTCGCTGATGTGTAAGTAAGTCTTGTTACAAGTCTTGTTGTGGAATCAGACAAACTGCTTATTTATGTACTTATTCCGAGATCTCTCAGATAGATAGATAGAGAGAGACAAATATATAGAAATATAGATATAGGTATAGATACAGATTTAAATATCTATAGATATATTGATACAGATCCAGATATCGATACCCTCAACTTCAACGAGCCTCAGAGCTCGGATAGAATCCCGGATTAGGGATTACAGGGTTCAGGGTTTAGGCCTAGGGTTTAGGATTTAGGGGCTTAAGGGTTTAGGGTTTATTAGGGAGGGTTCAGGGGTCAGGGATGATCCTTGTCTAGTATAGCGCCCCAAGCTTGTATCTTGAGGCCATCATGTTGAGTGAACTGGGAAGAACGAAACTGCGATACATAAGGATTGCTGCCTGTTTGCTATACCTTAAATGGGAGGTTCCGAATTCCTGCTCACGCTATCTTTCTTAAACTACGAATTTAGATTCGGCTTGAAGATTGCAGGTCACGTGGATGATGGTACACGGTTGTTTTCATCTAGTCTAGTGTGACTTATAATTGATAATTGTAATACTGGCTTTATTGTATATATATATATAAAATGCTCGATCAGGAACCTTGAAGCCCGCGATGTTCCGACCCCGAGGAAGCCCGTTGCAATACTCTCTACCAAGCCAAAATCTATGTCTGAAACCCCCAGCTCCGAAACCCTAGAGCCCGAGTTCTCAATGTACCCTATAGCAATGATCTTCAAAGGCCGGAAAACTCAATTCGATCTTCAAAGTCCTGAATTCCGAATCCCGACACAAGCCTGAAATCCAGCCCGAAATTAGGCCTATATTTTAGAAGCTGCCCCCACCCTGTAATAGTGACCATAAGGATTATATTAATATTATATTAGGGCCCTATTATATTCCTATCATACCACTATTACAGGGTGGGGGCAGCTTCTAACCTATATTACGTTTGGGTTCAAGCCGCTCGCTCCTGTCTTATTTGGCTTATCTAGCATTAGGGCAGGTTTTTAGGGACTTTAGGGTTTTTTGATTCGCACTATCCGCAAGGTCGCCGCTCATTAATGGACAACTTGAGCCACTTGAGCCGCCTTAAAACAACACAAAACTGGTGTTTTTAGCTACTTCCTTTAAGTTGCTGCTTTTCGGGTCCGGTGGCACAATATTCCGCCACTTTGGCAAAGGCGCTGCTTATTTTAAAGTTGCAGGGTTTTCTTGGCAACTTTGGCGCCCCAGGTTGGAATCCATTCATCCTAATATGGCCTTCAGCCGCTTCCTTATTCGAGGATTCCGGGCAGAAGCGAATTAGTGTAGAGGAGTGTAGAGTGTAGAGGCTTCAGGACAACAGTGGGTCACGGAACAAGCTAATATCGATGCAGCATCTCTCACAGTCATTGATATAACAGAAGCAGTAAGCAGTTCAAACCCGGCTGGGTTTCCATCTGGGATATTAGCATGCACGGAGTTTCTCAGTTCTGGGGGCAAAGTTTGTTCAGCAATTGGAACCCCTACCAAGGAAAGCAGACTATTTCGACCCCTGTATGAACTGCTTGATAGCCTGGAGAGAGAGTCTTCAAGATATGTGCTCACATGCTTTCTAAGGTCTCTCGTCGAAGGCGTCTTTGCAAAGACAAACCTGGGAGGCCTGTTGTGGGCGCTCTTCTGGTGATTGTTCTGCACTGCTGTAAACCAGGATTTAGTCCAGTCAAGTTAAGACATGTTACACTCACCAACCGGCCGCTGCAGTATCCAGATCGATCTTCGTAGAATCGAGACACGAAGCCAGCACAACCCACCTCAAAAGTATGTCTTTAACAGGAAAAGCAGTGACAGAGGAGGTAGCATGTTACTGTTAGTTCTTTCAAACAGTAACGACAGAAGCCAGGATAGAGCGGGGACAGTGCTTTCTGGTCATGTTTCCTGCATCCAGCTCCGAAGATGAGCAAGACACTGTCCGGCATCCGGCAGCCCAATGCCCGGACAGAGAGCAAGCTTCAGAGCCTCAGGCACGAGTGAATGCTGCAGCACAAGCTCCACAGGCAGGCCCGAGACCAAGACCGTTAAAAAAGGCTGGACTTTCGAAAGCTTGGGATGCTAAAGATGCAATCTTGCGTTCTTCTCTTGCAGAATCTGCAGAGCGACAAAGCTTCAAGGAGCTGCTCGGAAAGATTCAGAAGGAAGAAAACATAGAGGCTCGACTTTTCGTTTGGGAACGACTCTACGACGAGACTCCCACATACTGCTCGCAAGGGTACCTGCAGGAGGACACTGGCGAGATTGTATATATTCCCGAGACCGGAAAGATTATGGCCAGCAAACTGCGATGGGGCATGTGTCTGTACTTGAAGCCAGGGTTCCGAGAGGACCTTCCGCGGTATCACCTGGTGCATGGCACCCTGACCAGTCCATTGGTGGCAATGGAAAATCAGCAGGGCCCCATTGTGCGGAAAACCATCATGGACACGATGTCTTGGAGTGCAGAGGAGGCCCGAATGCTCGAGGTCTTCAAAAGGCAGATTGATCCTCACCTGTTTATGAGCAGACCGTTAGAACATCAGACATTATAACCGGGCTTCAACCAGGGGCAGCATGAACCCATTCAAATATTACAGACATAGATTGTTCCAGCCTCTCCTGCCTGGAACCGACAGACTGTGGGCATCTGAGGTGCTGCGACACACGGATTTGCACCGATCTGCCTTAGCAGCAGAGCGTTCCTTGGAGGTCGACACTGGAGTTCCATCGACATTGTTGCGGTGTTGCCTACACAGATATCGCACATCTGAGCAGAATGCACTTTCCGTGGATCCAGCGACAGAAAGCTTTTTGATCAATGCCACATTGGCATTTCGGCAAAAAGCCGGGTTCACGAGACTAGCAAGGGACCGAGTTATGAAGTTTGCTCTCCAGAAGTGCCGAGTGTATGCAGGAGAGCCACCTGCTGAAGTGAAGCGCTGGCGGGCCCAAATGGCCAGTGTCTTGTGGCCTCATGCTCCCAAGACCAAGGCCGAGGCCCGAAGAAAGTTCCTTTGGGACTATGTTTTGAATGGAGATGTCCGACTTGGGTCTGAGCTGCAACACTATTGCATTGGGCCCGATTGCTGCCCAAATGGAACCGAGAGCCTCCGCTTCAAGCTTCGACAGGCCTATGGACTGGAGGCCTTGTTCAGTCCTCCTCCCATCAACTTTCCACGAAGATCCTGGCAAGGGCAGCATGCTTCGAGCGCACACATGCTCCAGCTCTTTTGCTGTCACGGTTTGTTGTTGCACGTGCCCTTCGAAAGTGACGTGCAGGAGTACCTGCATCGGTCCGATTCCCTGCAGAACCTCTATGTGGCAGTTCTAACCCTGACCCGAACGGATGAACTGAAAAGAGCCGCAGTGGATCGGTGTGGCAATGATTATGAGCACCAGCAGATGTGCAGGGAGTTGCCTAGACCGCACGACAAGAGTACGCCCGAGCATGCAGTTTATCCAGCTCAGACAGCCTTCCGAGCTTTGGACTTGCATCGTTTGTTGCAGTCTAGCAGTGAGGACTTCTGCCAGGGTCCAGAAGTTTTGTCCGAGTTATTCCCAGAAAGCAAGAGCATGCCCCTGGAACTGCTGCTCTACCGGATGACCACCCGGCTTCAAGGCTCCCTTTATTCCCTGGGCATCATCGAGCAGAGGGTATACCCATATGCATTCTTTGAGATC